GAAGTCCTTCGGCATCACTTGCGGAATCGAGTTCTTTTTTGTCATGTGCTTGTGGAGGTAGAACTTCAAACCAGCGAAGACCGGCCAGAAGTCGAAATGTGCTTCACTCTGGGCGTCCGCGGTAACGCCAAGCCTGGTGGAAGGCTTTGCAATCTCCGCGAGAGACCACTTGTGCATATCCTCGTGGTTGTTGTAAAAAAGAACGGCGGGGAGCGTCCAGACCGGATACTCAGTGACTGGATATTTCTTCGGTCGTGTTACTAGCAAGTCGAACTTCGCCTCCGCACTTTGAGCAAGCTTAATAGCCGTATCCGTGGTCATGGCTGCCACAATCAAGTCGACTTTGCCGCTCTTGTATTTCTGCCAGTTGTCACGGACCACCTCCCTCATGTCCTGTTGTTCCTGAAGCATAAGCGCAACAGCAATCCAGAAGTCGTCCTCTTTGTCTTCCTCAGCTTCCTCGATCGTGACATTAGATACGTCAGGGAGTGTATCTTCAGCAATATCTTCCTCGTCGGCTAGTGCCACAAGCTCATCGACGGTCAGCCCCGCGAAGCGATTGCGTGACGATAAGTCGGCCACATTAATAGCGGAACCATTGTTGCGTGCGATTTCTGGTCCACCCGACCCAAGGAATGGCTTGAGGGATGCGAAAGTGTCCTCGAGAACCTTGATGAAGTATTCGTGCCGCAGGTCACTATTCGTATCCGGGTTGACTTTCGCCTTGTACCATTGCGAGACCTTCCGACGTGTCTGAATGGCGCGACTGAAGTGCCTGCATAAAGCAACAGGGACCATAATCTCAGACTCTGCTTCCTCTCCAGCTTTTGCTATCGCTTCTGCCATGGGTACAAAGTCCGATACTCCGAGTTGGTATACTGTGCCACCACCTCCACCTTTCGCATTCTGGTTGCCTTTCCTACCCGCGCCCTTTTTCGACTTGGATTTCGACTTTGTCTGTTTTTGTTCTTTTGTTTTGACTTCGAAGCCGATGGACGCGGCGGTTTCGGCAATCCATCCTGCAATGTATTCGGTGGCTCGCTTGTACAAGGTGTACTTGGCGAGGAAGGTCTGTGGCTCGTTGAGGCCCGACATGGTGTGAGCCGATTCGAGGCAGAGAAGCGCTCGATGTTAGCGTTCTGTAATGGGTGGGGTGCCTGAGTGCGACGATGGCGGTACCTGGTGCTGCCGCAGCTCGTATAGCTCCGAATGAGAAGGCGGGCAAACCCTGCCGAGCGCCGCTAGACCTATTTCCTATTTCACGTGACCCAAAAAAGCTGGGGCACAGAACTATCAGCGAGCGCGACTCATAACGGCCCGAATCGATTCAAACACTCGACTACGCCTCAGATCCATTGGTATAATATGGCGTTATGTCAGCGCGGTCGTGGTATGGACGCGGAACAGAATATCACAATGATGGGATTGTTGCAGTGTGCATAAAACGTATCCTACCTAGGTACTTTTGAGTGCTTACCTAGGTAGGTATGCTCGACATCCCAATCAGAAGCTGCCCATGTAAAGAGAGCTTCGGGACCTCAAAACCAGCTGCAGTACTCGTTTGTCAAGCTCATCCTACTGTATTCTTCGTTGCGATGTAGTGATAAGTCAGGGTACCTAGGTAGGCCCATTAGCTTATCTGCATACCTAGGTATTGACTATCGTATCTAGGCTTCTAGGTCAGGTGTATAACTATGTGATCACGACCGGATGCAAGCTCCTCAGCGATGGGTCTTGCGGCGCCTTCATTCACAATGTTGGAGTCGCCCGTACAACGATGGCGATTCGGAACTTGCAAAGGCAAGTGTGGTTGAAAGCAGAATATAAGGCTGACGAAACCTCACTCGCACTTTTTGCAAGCCATGTTGACCGAAAGAAAGAGAGCAGAGCTGTTTCTATAGCAAGAAGCGCAGTAAGTATGGAGGATATCAGTATCCATAAGTACAGTTTGAATAGCGGTGAAGGACGCCATTTACAAACCTCTACATGTACTCTGGTAGTCGCCGAAAAGGTTATTAGAATTGTCAAATAAGCGGTCAGATGCTACTACTGTAGTCTGTAATCGGCTATCGTCGTCCACTTTGCTATGGTGTTGGTTCGAGATCTTAGTCGCGCCGTAGCGGCATCGTGGCGTTTGTAGACCCGACCAAGCGCCAGATCAATCAAACTCAAAGTTGACATTCACGCCGTCGAATGTAGTGCTGTCTGTAGTAGCAGTCTGACTGCAGAGGTCGATTAGAATCTGACCCTGTGGTCATTCTAGAACAACATGAGGAGAGCGGTGACTGTTGGCGAGTGCCGAAGAGCTTCGGAGCATGGCCGTGCCCTTCCTGCCTGGTGTGTCGCAAATGTCCCTGGCACATCTGGCACATGGCCACAGTCCATCGCAATGCGCGAGCATCTCAGTACCATGGCGTCGCATTGCTTCTGGCCCTTCAACTACGCGCTGCATGTGCTGTACTTACCGCCTTGAGCTGTCACGTCCGCTCCTGAGTTTCGTCGACCCTGCGCCACCACACGCACTAGGCCATCAGCCTCGCCGCCCTCGCGTAAATAGGATGGCAGGATCGCGTGGAAGAATGCGTTTCGCCTCAAAGAATGCACTTCAGTTAAATGAAGTGTTTGTCGCGATTGGCTGCTCGATAGCAAAATGATGTAAATCGTCCTGCACGACTTGTTCAGATCTTGCTGCGTTGTCAGGAACCGGGTCTTTGTTGTGACGTAGATCGATGCAAGCGAGGTCGGCTGCTCGGGCTGTCACGCCAGGATCAGGCAAGGCGCGCTCAAGTGGGGCTTAACGGCCGCCTGGGCATGCAACGTTCCGTTCCATACATTTTCACAACGTCTCCTGAGGAATGCACCTTCTTTCGTCGTTTAGGACCGAATGCGGGTCTCGTTGTGCTGACCAGATGTCTGCGAATGGCCTCATCCAAACTCTAACGGAGATTACGGATGTAAATGTCAGCCTTAGGACAATTCGCACAATTTGACAGCTTTTGTCGTTTGAACTCTGTGAGTACCTATAGATTCCCATCCTTGTGCTATATCAAACGCTAGCCGAACCATCACCAGGTTTTCCACCGTGCTACAGGGCTTCCTTGGAAGCTGGTTCTAGATTCTCATTCGCCATGACCCTTGCTAAACCCCTTAGCCCCACGTTTCGATCGCTTTTCTGGACTTCGTCACACCTACCTCTAGCATCATCGGATGGCGTATTGAGGCGCTTGAGTTCTTTGACAGCTGTTTGCCACACCTTGTCATGGGTCAGCTCTGGTATATCTGCCGGTTGTTAAAGAAAGATTTTCAAGGTTGGAATGAACGCGTGGTGTGGGTGACGATGAAGCATCGCCTCCACCAAGTCGATCGGTCAAAGCAAGACGACAATCGTGTACACATTCTCACATTCGCATGAATACACTTCCATGCTAAGTGCCGTTCAGGCGGTCTACGCGCACTCAGACCACTCCCACAAGCGTTTGACTTGGTGAACTTGAGGCTCGGAGATGAGCCTTATGCAGCGCCTGTGAACGAGCGCTCCGGTAGCCGGTACCCCAGCTTAGGGTACGTCACTGGCGCTGAAGCCTCAACTCGTGGAGGGTGTCCGACCACCCTATGGCATAGTCTGGGGCAGCCACAAAACCCTATGAGAGGCTTTGACGTGGACAACGTGCATACAGCCAGGACACCCTGCAGCAAATGTACGCGCCAGGGGCAGCGAAAAGATGCCCAATGTGTAAGTATGTTCGCGTTCGACATCTGATCCCTGCCCTGAATGGCTATACCTCCGATATCGATCTACGTTCCACAGTATCCATTCTTCATGCGACAGCAACTCCAGCCGTGCAGGTTTCGAGATCAACAGCCCTAACGGATACTCCACCCTCGGTACCAACCAGTCAGCATGATCAGCCAGGTACCACAGAGCCAAACCAGCTGAGATCGACGTCATTCTTTGCCAGGTGCAGACTCGCCATGAAGAAGTTGGGGACGCCAGGTGGACCTGTCACCGTTATTTTGACCGTTATGGACGTGCGCTCCCGGCTGTCAGCTAATTCCCCTGGCGTCGATGACGATCGTAGCCTGGGTATGCCGGTGTTTGATGACGATGGCAATGTAATGAAGCGTGTACTTGGAATGAACCTTGAACAAGATGAGGACTGAGAAGGTATAAAGAGGGCAACGATGCCTCGACAATTGAACATCATCCAACACATTCAACTCACATCAACAACTCTACAACACCACTTCCAAACAACACTTCCTTCTTTCACAAGAACCAACCAACCCAACCAACCTTCAAAATGCAGTTCACCATCACCGCCATTGTCGCTTTCGCCGCCACCGCTGCCTTCGCTGCTCCCCTTGACGAGCGCCAGGTTGGCCTCTGCTCTTCCGGCAACCCCGTATGCTGCGCTACCGATGTCCTGAACCTCGCCAACTTGGACTGCGCTCCTCGTACGTCCTTCCCATCCTCACCTATCAAAGACATGATCACTAACATTCTCTCAGCTACCACCACCCCTACCAGCATCAACCAGTTCATCGACGGATGCGCTGAGTCCGGCCAGCAGGCCAAGTGCTGCCTCATCCCCATCCTCGGCCAGGCTCTCATCTGCTCCGACGTCAACCCCACTGCTGAGGCTCCCGCTACCCCCTCCGCATAAGCGCCTTTCGTCGCTTCTCATTCGGCATGGCGCGAATAATGTATATCCTCAACGATGGTCGTGCCTTGGTTTCTTAGACACATGTACAACATCTTCTTTCGATTGGTTTAGATAGGGAGTGAGCATTAATACACATTTCACTTGGAGTAACTCTTCTTTATGGTGACATTGATTCATTCTATCTATAACTGAAAAGTCAAGAGGAGTGTTGGGAAATACAACCCATGCATTGGGCGAAGTTTGTAATGGCTTGAACTACCGAGGAGGCATTCGAATGCTGTGAGGCTGTCGGTATGACAGCTGTAGTGGTGTAAGATATATACGTTGGCGTCCAGCTCAACGCTTTGCGATGTCAGGAAGCCATGTGGGCGACATCTTCTCCCACAACCGCCTGAGAGGACCAGTCTTGTCCTCCTTGTCGTTCTCATCCGGGTCATCGGAGTCGTAACGATTGCATAGCGATGCCCAGACCCTCTTGTCTTTGAAGACATTCTCATGGAGGTACTGGCAGGCTTTGTACCATTCATCCCGAGAGTCCCAATCTGCAATCTCTTGGCATTGATTGGTCATCTCCGTGGCTCGAGAGATGCAGCTCGTAATGCTGCCTATCAATGGTGCCATTTCAAGGTCACCAGGCCACGGGCATCTACGACCTTGGAGTCGAAACACGACTGAAGCGCGTTTTAGGAGGGGTGCCGCTTTCTCAAGTTCTGCCTTCACATATGAGGCCATGATGAACTCTGGGTGTTGTGTAGGTAACTGGGTGAGCTCCAGTACATTGTAGTGCCATATCTTCAAGCTGGCGGCCTTCTGATTAGGCCAGTTGAATGACCTCCATTTGAGCTCTTTGAGCTGATCATCTGGCAGACCAAACCAATCTTCTTTACTGAAGTCAATGAGGCCTGGTGCACCTTGGGGCACTATCGGCTGCTGGGGAGGTGCCTGTTGGATAGGCGCGGAGGTACTCGGTGCCTGTTGCGGCTGCGGAGCGATCGTGATGGCAGGAGCGGGGAGGTACTTAGTGGTGGTGGGGATGGCGGACAGCGTCCCCATATTGGGTGCTGGAGGGTCTTGCGTACTTGACGCGGGAGGCTCGGGCCTCATGATGATGAGGTCTTGGAGACAATCCTTCAACCCAAGGTAGTTGGCGAATTGACGATAGAGCGCAAGGAAAACCATCAGTTCCTGGCTCTCTTGAATGGAAGCGCCTTCAGGCACCAAGTAGTTCCAGAACTCCACGATAGAGGCATTCCAGCCAATAAGGGATGACTGCTCCATGGTCATACCGCCCACGAAGTATGGCTTCAGGTCGCTCTCGGCACTCGCCATCAAGGTCCAAATCGCGTCTGCCGACGACATGTACTCAGTGCCGGTACTGGCAGCAACCAGAAAACCCCTCATCGCAGTCTCAAGGGTAGGTGCTTGACTAGCCAGGTTGCTCATGGTCGACCTGGCAAGGTCTTCGAGGGATGGCTGTGGCGGGGCCGGGAGGTATGTGATAGGTAGCTCGACAACCTTATGGGCAGGTGCAATGACTACATGGTCCTTCGTGGTAGTCGCTGTCGACTTCGTAGTGATTTGAGCCACTTCTGGCTTCGGTATGGTAGGTGCTGCGGCGACCTTTTCGTGCTCGGTAGACCCATAGGCTGGTGATGGTTGTCTAGGTGCAGACCGCCAGTGATCGCGCTCTTTGCGGCGGGTGTTTGCCCAAGAAGTCGATAGCTGCGATACGGAATAGTATGTCGGGTCGCGTCGATCGGAGTGTGCGAACGACTCACCGGTGCCGCGGAAGTTGGTGAAGGGGAACTCGAACGGCGGTGGATATGAAGGAGGCGCTGGCTCTGTAGGTACTGGCTCTGCAGGCGGTAGTGTGAGACGGGCGGCGGTGTGGTGTGAGCGATGGTAGGAGTGACAGGGAGCTTCGTCTCTTGCGATTGTCCCTTTTCGATAGGATGATGGAGGTCGTCTTGGTCGGCCTCGGGATGAGGGCCTATCCAGTAGGTATACTTGATATATACGTATAGGGCGAAGGTAAGGTAGACGCAGATGAGAAGTGAGATGAAGCGGAGGTAGAGGGGAACTCCTTCGAAGTTGTGGGTGAACTGATAGTAGACTTCCCAGCAAATCTCCCAGTATAGGTACGAGACGACGATTTGGAGGCGGCGAACAACAAGCGAAAAGAACTCAGATGATGCGACGATGCGGCCGATGTCGAGGGCTACTAGCAAGAGAAAGCAAAGAAGGGCGATGGTGACAGTGCGCATCTTGTCGGTATAGCGTGCGGCGGGTGAGCTCGCAAAGTAGGGTATGATGAGGTTTTGGGTATCGTCAAATAGAAGAGCTTGTGTTGGTAGCTGCGATGGAAAAGGATTGGAGTGTTTGGTTTGGAAACTGAGAGCAATGAAGCAGGACGGGTGTTTTGAGGGTTTGTATCGCTTTGTGTGTGGGCGAAAGATATTTTGACTGCTATTGTGGCTGGGTCCGTGCCTATTGTTGGTCACCGTGGAGATGACGACGAGTTATTCTGAAAAAGCGGTGGTGAGTCGCGAATTGCGGTGCGGAGCGCTGAACAAACGGAAGACTTGGCGCGATACCGGCGGTGGACGAGAAGTGAAAGGGACAGCGACAAGACGCGCTATTCGCCAGAACGCTATCATCAGCTACAAATGATGTGTTTGACTAGGATATCGTCCCATTAGAAGGAGAGACCCCCGGATCAAGGTGTCTATGAAGCATGGCGTTCGCTCAAGTCGATGGGAAGGACCATAGAAGTAATATCCAGTCAAAGCCGGAAGGTGAGTAGTTGACGAGACTTTACCTACAGATCCATATCGCAGTGTCAGTTCCGACTTCAAGGCCTCCGTCCGATCTGAAGATCTAAAGCTTTTGCGAGGATGTATAGCATCTCCAATCGTACGCACGCCACACCCTTCTCCTTGCCCATGCGAACGGGGTTGCCCACAATAGCCTCTACTTCTATTCTCCGATTCGACTGAACGTCCTGAAGCATACTAGGTTCAATACCAGCGTTCGTAGGGATCCTGGCTTGCGCCCGGCTAAGCTGGTTGTCCACCTGCTCGCGCGTGATTTCGTAGCCATGCGCAGCTGCGATGTCGCGAATCTCAAGCATCACAGCTAGTACAACACCGTCCGCCTCTTCCGAGGCAGTTAGAATATCTGTGTCTTTGCTCAGAGCGAGAGCACACATGGGGTTCCAGGATGCATTGACGAGTAGTTTCATCCATCGCTTGTGCTGAACGTCCTCGTAGAATTCCGCTGTAGCACCGGCTGCTGTGACAAGTTCCGTGAAAGCTTTAGCCCGTTTACTTGGTGCGGAAGATGGATAGGCTCCCACTTGGAGTTTCTCGACTTCACCGTGTTTGATGACGCCGGCTGGCCGTTGGGTAGCGGGCATATAGACGACAGCGCTGATGATCGGGTTGTTTGGGTATGCCTTCAAGTATTCTTCTTCGATACCGACACCATTCTGAATAAGTACGATGGCCGTATGTCCAGGTGTGATGGCAGGAGCGATGAGCTTCGGTACCGTATCCGGGATAGCCTTGCTGCAGACGATGATGTAGTCAAATGGATCTGATGATTGTGACGCTGCTTCTCCACAGTCTCGGACTACATTGGGTTTGAAATGAAGGTTTTGACCGAAGATCGATGAATTGATGGTGAAGCCATCTTTCTTTACGACCTCATAATTTGAGCGGCAGACGGCGGTGGTCGCGGCTACCTTGCTGAGCAGGTACAGATACACTGTTCCGACGCTACCGGCACCAAACAGAAGGATCCTTGGCTGCTTCCCCGAAGACATGGTAGAATCTTAGTATCGAAGATGGTGTTGTGCGTAGCTCTCCTGCAGTGCGACCTGGAGGATTGGATGGATGTCACAGTCATGGCCCCACGGCTCTTTCCGTGGCCCCCAAATTTTCGCCGCGGAACGGGTACCCGCATTCTTCCCAAGCCAACTTGGCGCTCCTTTACAGACCATCAGTAAGCCATCTGCGGGAACAGTCAATCCTTCGTTGTATACTTGAAGCGGCTATTAATCCACGATGATAGGGGTCGTCTTACTTGTGGGCTCATTGCACGCGCGCAGGCTGTCGCGACAACAGCAACATCTCAGAGGACGATCACCGCACACAACCAGGTAGCATCCACTGTGATACAGCAGCACAGCTAATAGCCCTGAAAAAGATATTGTGCCTCAGCCGCACTGTGGGCCCGCAGGAACACAGCGTGGCTTTTCATGCAATTTGGAGCCTCGCCTCGATTCGCTGCCTACGTTACCCATGCCGCATCCTGCATGCCAGGTCAGGAAAGGAGTGGTCCGGCCTGTGAAGCTATGATGGATACGACCCCCAAGAGCTGGGCAACTAACTTCAGGTTGCCTTACATGTTAGTGGTCGTCAGCTCCGTACACCAGCTGTAGTTATAACAGCTATGAGATGAACCGGCGCCCTCGTATTCTGGTTGTCTGCTTAGCCGCCCCGCCAAAGCCAATTTGCGGCTAAAGTACCGCGCGCCGACGCGATGATGCATAACCTTCTCTTACTCCTCCTTACCGCACTCGCAGCGCGTGTTTTCGCGACAAGTCAGATAGCCCTCTTCGAGGACGATAACTGCCGAGAGTCATTGCGAGGTTTAGAGGGTCCAAACGGCTATCCGAATGGTACCTGTACAGATCTCAGGCGCAATGGCCCTTATGGGAGCTTCCAGGTCGTCGGCCTGGACCCGGGATGCACAGGTATGTTGCTTCGCGATAAGATGGATACGAGGATGGCATACTGACATTGCGCGCAGTCACCATTTACATGAACGATACGACCGTCGACATATGCTCCGGCTTCCAAGAAGAGATCCAACCGATCGACTGCTACAACTCGACCTTCGTATACTACAGTATCGACTTCTGCGACGCCGGCGCCATTGGTGAATCACCATCTGTCACGTCCACGCCTACGCCTACGCCTACGCCTACGTCGACGTCGACACTGTCGTCCATACCACCTCCCCCAAGCTCCTCAGGCGTGTCGACGGGCGCGATAGCAGGAGCAGCAGTTGGAGGAGGCATCGGTCTGGGCATAATGATTGGATTAGCGGTGTTCTTCATCATGAGGAGACGGCATTCGTCACGCCCACGAGAGATGTCGGGTTCTACGGAGCTTACTAGCGTGACACCGTATGAGGTCCACGCAAAGCATATTCAGGAGTTGGGACCAGGAGCGGTGGCATACAAACACGAACCTGTGGAAATTGAACAACCGCCTGTTGAAATCGGGGGTATGGAGGTGCGACGTGTTGAAGAGAAGGGGCCGCGATAGAATTGATGTATCAAATTGGGCGCATGAAAAGTAATTGCTGAGATTACTGAACATCGTTGGTGTTTTTCCACGATCCTCTTTCCATCGCACTGAACTTCACCAGTCTATCCAGCCTTTCCCAGGATCCATTCGGCGATAACCCGGCGAACCTCCGACGAATGGTCCACCAGCTGCCATTGCCCGTTCCTGAAGTCGATATCCCCATCCAAGGCAGCCCAGCCTCTGCCGTAGTGTACCACATACTCATACAACTCTCCATTGGGACCATCAATATCGTCATCCGAGGGATCAGTACCAGGATGGGCGCGCATGGCACTGAGAGCTAGCTCGATATCCTCTCGCACGTCAACACTCAAGAACCCGGGAGTCTCGGAGTTCAGATCCAAAGTGTCTGTTGAAGAATCCCGATACGGCGCCTGCTCAAGTAACATACTTAGCCAGAGTTTCCTGAGGCTGGGCATGGTCTCGAGAATGTGCAGTGGCTGGTGCCACGTGCCATGCTGTAAACCGACAGATTGGATCACAACGTCCTCCAGTATCGATGCGTGCAAGTGCAGAAATGCGACCAGCTCTTCGTGGCAGATAACCACTTCAGTGAAATTGAGATGACGTAGACCGGGGAAGAAGAAAGTTCCCGCCGGTTCGCGAGCGAGCGGTAGAAGGGTGTGGTTTTGACTCAACTCAAGCTTGGTGATACCGAAGCTTAGGCTAAGCAGTTGTCCAATCCAGGCAGGATCCATGTCGTTCGTGGTAGAGACGAAGCGTAGTTTCTTGCAGAGGCGCTCACGCCAGTATCTGGAATTGTTGTCGAAGTATTCGAAAGTCACTCCAGTACTGGACGAGTTCCAGAACTCGAGGTTCAACTCGATCTTTTCTTCCACCTCAGCCTGTTCTATTGCTTGTAGAGTCATGCAGTATACTCGATTGTAACCATTGTCATCGCCTTTGTCCCAAGACTTGCCTTCTGAATGTTCCAGACTGAACATCGAACTTCGTCCACATCTCAACGCGATTCCACCATTCTCGATGTTTGGAGGCCCGCGGAAGGATTCAACGTCAATCTGGATACTTTTCAAGTTGTTGAACTCCCGGAAGACCTCGGTGAGAATCATGAGATCCATGCGTGAGCGTTCGACGCTTGTCTGTGAGTCCATGTGCCTCTTCTCGTGTACCTCTTCACCATTTATAAGAGCTATGCCGTGTCCGATGCGCTCACCACTCACTGTCAACTCATGGACATATCTTGACAGCACAGGATGGCGGCAGATTTCGAGGAGTGTGCCAAGGCTGGTAGGATGAAGGATGACGACGAGGTGATTGAAAAAGCGCAGTCCGAAAGCGTTGGTGGAATGTGCTGTTAGTGCGCGACACACGCGGCGTACGTTGATGAGATCTTCGTTGGCTAGATGATTGGAAACGTCACCGATAATCTCAGCGGGGAGGTCGAGGAGTCGAAATGTCTGCGGCGGCTCTTCTCCGTGGGCCGCCTTGACTTGAGCGCGAGTAGTCACCATGACTGCGGCGAAATCTCTGCTGTAGTCGGGAATGAGACTGAAGGGTCTGCGTCGATGTGAGGTGAGAGGTCGTGTGAGCGAGACGCTCTTGCCCGTTTGTCAACACCTGGGTCGTGCGCTTTTACGCTAAGCCTGAACCTGATGTGAGAGAAGGTACGACAGGGGAAGCCAGCAGCGGAGAGCATTCCTGGTGCCCAAGGAAATTCATGGAAGACACGTCACCTAGTCATCTACGAGATAAAGTAGGCTATGTAATTATTATTGCGTACATTGTCTTCTCAGCCAGTCCCTGCCCGGCAATGCATACGTAGCTTGCTTTCTGAGAGCCGGAGTCGTTGCTTGACTTCTGACCAGCTGCCTCAGCACCCTGTGTCTGGGAAAGCTACGTGGCATACCCACAATTTATAGTCACCGTATCTGTCTTGATTATCATTTTGGTGCTATACCAACGCAAAGATATTGCTATTTCCGTGGCATACTCTCTCTACGTTCTCCCGCAACTTCGACCACGGAGCGGATGGGGAATCAGTTGACAAAGCGACAGACCAGGCAGACAACAGAGCAGCGTTAGCCAGTGTGAAGTCAATCCGATAGTCAATGCCGCCAGGGTATTCGAACTCGAAGGTGTATGGAACTGGAAGCAAGGCTCCCATGACGAGCAAAACATCTGATCGATTGCTACACGCGACCCCCTGTCGACATGTCGACACTCTGTCCGAACATGGTTCTAGCGCTGGATAGGCTATACTCTGACTCAGCCAAGCAAAGCACATATTTTGTAGAGCCGGTAGTTCGTAGATAGTCTCCAGTATTCCAGACCAGGACTCGTGCTGCAAAGAGACATGCTTTAGTATAATACGAACCAATGTATTCTTGTGCATCTTGAAGAAGTCGTTAAGAACAGCATTCGTAATACAAATACAGCCGTCATAGATAGCCAGGGACCGAAGGTGCGGCCAAACATCCAAGCCACCCTGGGCGTTGCTGAACCTGATACATCCACGGTGAGGGAGCAGGCTGAGTTCCTGCAATGACGAGCACGAAGCAGCAAGGTTGTGAGACCATCTGCCGGTATCCATGGTAGTAACCTCAAGTCTTAGAACCCTGGACGACAAAGAATGCTTCCAATAAGGTAAGCTGAGGTCGAAAAGCTCATATGCTCTGGGCGATGGAGCCAACGTAGACCAGCCTCTGAAAAGTAAACTCAAGCCGAGGCAAATCTTATCGCGAACCATAGCTCGCTCCACAGATCTCATCATCACTTGGATCAAGTGATGTAGGGCGGTGAAGCTGCCTTGAAGCTGTTCCATACGGAGTCTCTCTGGGCCGCAACGGAGGCCGGTCGCTTCTGAGGAAAGGTGTTCCAAGCGCAGGTACGAACAGGTATCGATCCGAATGGTCTCCAGATTCGCGAAACTCCGAAGCGCCTCGGTGAGCATATCTTCCACGGTCGATGCAGGTATGCCGGCGTAGGTCGTCGAAGGTGGACCAGTTTCGCCGCTGATCGATAGAGTCTTCACGAACCGCGAAAGCCTCTGGTGGTGAGCGTAGCGCAACAAGACGGTTAAGCTCTCCATGTGGGGTATAACCACAAGATGAGTGAAGAAGCGCGTCCCAAAAGTGAAGGCCGAACGATGGCTGAGAGTGCGACAGACCAGTCGAGTCTTTCGCAATGAGTCGTCGTCTAAGTGGTCACAAACGCTGCTGAACAGCTCCTGATAGTTGAGAACGCAATTAGCATACGATCATTGCACCGTGCGTCAGAGCACACTACTTACAAGAGGCAAGTCAAGGATCCGGAAGAAGCTGGGGCCGTGCAGACTGAGAGCGCTGAAAGCGACACTGAGCTCGTCCATGGTGTCGCCGTTTCAGCTGACTGCGCAGCTTGCGCGTCTCGATCGAGCGGGGGAAGCGCAGATATTGAAAGTGCGCAGACGGACCTCGTGGGTAACGGTTGTTGGGTGTCAACTGCTCGCGCGCGTTCACCTGCTAGCGCCAAGACTGCGCGTTTGCATGTGATCAATCCATCTCAAGTCTTCCTCGACGATATCTCAACCACCTCACATATCAACACAGCATAAGAACGGAAAAGTGACTGATAAGAGGTAATAATAAATGTACAGACATGGAAGAAGTCTATGGTCCCAGACCAAAAAAAGATATGATTACCCAAAGTGCAACGCCGATAAATGCAGCTCCTGATATCGCAAACGGGCATGCTCCTAAACTCCAGAAGCACTGAGTGATACCCAAATCAAAAGCGAGACGTGCACATCCTGATACAGGGTCCACCGTCAATACACCTGATTGTACTCATCTCTCTTGTACATTATTCGTGCCAACATCAACCCTAAAAACATTCTAAATCTTCCTCTTCTTTGTATGAAACATATTGTATTCTACTCTCTTCCTCTTCGGCGCCGCATCGGCCGCTGCCTGCGCATTCGTCGGCTTCGGCTTGGGTGCGCTGAAGTGCATCCCAGGCGGCAAGGAGGTACGCGCGGGTGGTGGCGGCGCATTGCGTTGCTGCGGTGCAGGCCTCTGTGTAATGGTCGGGCGATTCGCGGATAGCGACGGCGCGGATTGAGTGTCAGGCTTCTTGGAAACGGATGCCGAAGCTTGCTTGGACACTACCATACTTTTCGGAGCTTCATTCTCCGCCATTCGAACCATCCTTGCCGGTGCTTGCCTGACGTTGGTCTTTCGCTGAGCTAGAAGATGTGCTGGGATTTGGCTCGCTTTCGGGCGCTCACGGCCATGGTCGAACATGCCGCGCTTCAGCTTGTCGAAAGCGGCTTTGCCCGTCTTTGAAGGTGCACCCGACGGTTGCCCCCAGCTGCTGGTAGTGCGTCCAGTGAACATCTTGCTTGCGCCGGAACCGTATCCAAACCTGGTCTCGACGATCAAGGTCTTGTTCTGTCCGCGATCTTTCTGCAGCGCTTGCATCTGCTGTTTGAGGGCCTCTTTATCCGCCTCTATCTCCAGTTCTGCATCTTTCTTCAACTTGCGGTAGACCTTGCTCCAGTTTCGAGGATCGCGCGGCTCATGGGGCTTCGTCTCCCAGTTCGGAATGTCTCGCTTGATAAAGCGAAGCCATATCTCGCCCGTCTCGCCGAGTAGTTGTGGGCAGTTGGCCTCGAGTTCGAGCAGCTGATCGGGGCTTTGTATGAATCGGAGGACTGGCTGGAGGAAGGAGTAGGGTAGATCGCCGACGTCGCGGAGCATATCGATATTCTTGATGAGGCGCTGTCGAGCCAGCTCGAAGAGGCTTGCGACGGGCATGGTGACGGTAATGTGTATACGGAGTGTGTATCCAAAAGCGTTGCGTAAGATGGTGTTGTGAGGCGGAATGCGAAGATCAAACGGGTCGGGATGTGAAGGGTTTTGGTCGTAGAGAGGTGGTTTGCTGACAGGTTCGTCGGTGTTCGTTGATAGGGTGTCGTCTATGTAATGTGAATCATGGACAGGCCGAACGAGGGCGGCGTG